ATCCAACCAGTTAATATATGGAACTGATTTTATGAGATAAATTAAAGTTGATAAATCTGAATTGGATTGATAATAATTAATCTACAAATTGCATTCAACACCTACATTAAACTTTTACCAGCTCAACTCACCACAACAAGTAGATAAGTATCTGACGCACTCTTACAGATACCTACAATCCCTTTGGATGATACATCTGTGTCTCCCCCCATCATGATTGGAGATCCTTTAGTCTTGAAATGTGTCATCAGGGTGTCAACATGTTCTGATAATTCTTTACCAGATTTCACATGTATTATTTGGCAACGGACATCATAGAGAGTATCTATGACAAGGCAAACCTGTTAAGATGTAACATGACAATATATAAGCACCCCTGCACATACTGTGTAATTACCAAGACCAAAATGTCTAATGTTCCAAATACCACTCAAATTCTTTTCCTCAGTCTAATGTTAAATGATAGAAAAAAATACACTGGCATAATATACAAAACAGCAAAATATGACAATATATCACCTTAATGACTTCTGATTCAAGATATGGAACAAAAAAAAAAACAATCAATAACTTTAAAATATTCTATAACACATCAAACTTATCATCATGGAAGGAGCATAACAGCATACCTCTACACTGCCAATCCATTGCTTTGAGCCAAGGAAATTCTTCTCTTTATCACCAATTTCTACAAGAATCTCTTGGACACGATGATTTGATGGAACTGGTGCTATGCTCCCTGTGTTTGACTTTGCATTGCTAATCTGTCCTCGAAGCCATGAGCACAAACTCATCAGAGTCCTGTAGCCACATCCCCAACCCTGGAAGAATGGAACACTTTTAGCTCTACTAAATTATGTAACAGCCAAGGAAAGTCCTTTTTTTCTCCAAGTGCACATTTTTATTTCTAATCTTTTATACAAATGAAAAAATAGTCAAAAAAGATAAGTCAAATATCTCAACAAGGGTACTTATTCTATTCAACTGGTTTCCATCTTTGAAGTCAGCCAATACCTCTAGTAACATTCTCAACATACTATTTTTATACTTCAATAATAAATCTTTTTACTTCTGTTCAAGATCCTTGTCTGTAAAACATCTTACAGACATAATTCAAAACATTGGCACCTAAAGATGATTTTACTCATTTCTAAAAGCAAAATCATTTTCCATTAGCAAATAAGGGATGAGATGAACTACTGACAGACATTTCTTGGTAACATCAATTGAACACAAACAAGAAAATTGCATAAACAGATTTCATATCACATCCTTAAGATTATGCAAGCTTAGTATTCACTAGTATTAACTACTGCTACATCAATGACCATTTTGGCTTCTGACCATTTCATCTTAAAATGGCAAAGCCCAGTCTTTTCAAAAAGGATTACAATTATTGGAGATGAGGCATAAGAGACATTAGCTATAGTGCTATGACCCGTTTCATTAGTTGGGTTAAACTTTGTTGCTATTTTACCCCTTACTGTACTGCTGATGAATAAACAAAACAGCCCCATCTACAGCCTATAAATGAAATTATATTTGCAAATAAGCAAGACATATTTGATCCAAACCATAGTCTCAATTGATCAACAGCAAATTAACTTTGGCTTATTGAACTACAACTGATCCGGAACAACCTAGGCCAGCTACCAGTATAGTTTGATTGATCTATGGTAATTAGATCATGAGGACCAATAGATATAAACCAACTACAACTTATGGCTGATATCAAAATGTCTTTCTCAGATATTTAAAAAACACATCATGTTTCTATCAACTTTCTTTTTTCACACAATTTACCAGCTAGTCATATCTTTATCAAATATTAATGGCAAGTGATGATGGGCAGTATCATAAATCAGTCCAAATTATTCATGGATATTAATATTGTCTGGATAAAAACTTCAACAAATACATTAGAGAGAAAAAAAATGATTGCCGCAATCATCCATCTCACCCTGTCATCAAAGCCGTCACAGCCATAATGGTAATACAAATAATCCCCCACAACAAAGGCCGACTCCATCACCCCTTCAGGCAGGGGAAGTCCCTCATGGATGTTACGCAGCAGGTCACATCTGTAGTCCCGTCCTCCTGCCATCGCAAACCTGTTGTGACAATTTGGGTTTAATGAATGTTTAAGCAACATCTAGTTATTTTCTATACTGTGACCCATGTCTTGGGGAGGACATTTTTGATAAATGTATAGAAGACATTTACAATGGCTTTTAAATTAGTTGTTTTCTATCCAAATCCACTTGAAACTTGCTGTGACCTTTAATAAGACCTATAATCATGAGTCAAATTCGATCATTGCATATCATTAAGTGACAGCTGTGCTATATGCTCCAGCAAAGGCCAACAACCTTCCATTACCTACATTCTGGAAAGATAAGAGTTTAAACATATCTCCTGTTCAACAAAATTTCTGGGAAGTCTACAAGCTCAGCATTGCCAGAATATATGTAGTGGAAATTTGCTGAACAGGGGAGAGGTT